TTTGTTTTTCGAATTATAACCACAATGTTTTACAACACATGCCACATTATCCACACATATTTACTTGTTAATTCTTTTCATAAAAGATGTATAATTGTACACGATATATGAGATATATTTATATCACGGAATAAACAACACTTATTGTAAATTTAATGCAATTTCGTTTGACGTTTTTTCGGTATACGCGGTTATGAAAAATCATCATTTCTTAGTATCATATAGTACAATCTGGTGGCAATGCACGGAACCAATTCCTACCATTAAAAATCACAATCGGTATTATCGGGAACCATATAATATGACATATATATCGGAAGTAAAGAACTTTATTCGACTTCCGGTGATTTATAAAAGTATCATAACGTATAATAAAACTAATATTCGAAAACGTTTGAATTATTTTTTATTTGTTATTATATATTTTATATATCTAGATATAATGGTAGATACACAGTTTCATGTACGATATTTCGTTAAAAATTTAAAATTGGCGCCTTTATTGGCATCTAGTTCCTTGTAACATTGCCGTTAGTAAATAACCAGTCCTAGCTTAATATTTCGTGTATGTATGGTAAATGTACGTATGGCGTATGTATATACACATAGATGATACATCTATAAATCTACAGTTTGTAGGAAGTGTGAGAGCTCCGAAGCGGATTGTGAACGTCCATTCTATGAGTGTTGTAGCTGTAGAAAGAATTTTTCTATGAGAAAATCAAATCAGGAGATTGCAGATCGTATTAAAAAATCCGGCGATAATATGGTGAAAGGTAGAGGTATGTTTTTAAAATCTTCATTAATAGTTTCACTTAAGATTTGACAGTAAATGCCAGGTTATGTTTTCATAGATTTGACTTATACTCGCACCATTTTGAATTTCATCCTAGATATTAATGCTCGTAGTTTTCTCTAGTCTGTAATTAAATATTTTATAAGGCATTAGAAAATAATGTTATACTGTGTGATCTTTAATTATTTCAATTCATAATGATCACCAGTTTCTAAATTTTATATAATTTAGATGAACAATGCTTTTATTTATAAAAATAATTTGAAGATTATTATTATGATTTATACCATTTCCTTATGTGTCATTTTATATAAACAAATTATAGCGTATAGTTATTTTTAAATAGTTATTGTTATGATTAAACATTTTAATAGTCATAACAAATTATATTATAATACATTATATGATTATAAATATTGAATAATATTCTATATTAAATTATTATATATTAATAATAAAAAACTATATATCTTTAAAAAATGCTATTATATTTTATTTATTTTCACTTGATATATTAAAGTATTTTTATACGTATATTTATAAAACAACTTATTTTTACAATTAATTGATAAACATAAATCAAATAAAATATTTTACTAAAATCTAATTTTTTTATATAATATAAAATTAACATATATATTTGTATTAAAAAATTTTTAGTTCGTACTCGGAATATATCAGCCGTAACATCTGGCAAAGAAATTATTCCACTAATGAAGAAAGAAACAAATACAAATGGCTTTAAGAGAAGACAACGTAATGCTCTCAATGGAATGCAGTCAATTTCTAATGAACAAGTGTCTTCTGCATGTATAACTGCCTTCTTTCCTATAAAGGTACTCAATTTTATTTTATATAATAACTATATTCATAAAACTTTAATTCATTATAATTATTTTGTTTGTACATGCGTATGTAGGTTGCAAATATTACAAATGTAAATACTACTAAGGAATCTTCCAAGGATGTAGATGTAATGACAGGACATTGTTTTCTTACCAAAGAAGAAACTATATCTATAAGTGTTGTAGAAGAGATTGTATCAGATGTAGGAGAATTTAAAACGGATGGTATTTGTCCATTCTATAAATTTTCAAAACAGTTATATAATAAGAAATGAAACAATATTTTTATAAAATTATCTTTTAATTTATAATACATTATTTCTTTATAAATACGCACAGAAACACCTGTAGCAGTACCAATCCATGGACCTTCAACACCACATAGAATAAATATGCCAAATAGTCATATAGAAGAAACTGATAGTAGAGAAATAATTAATGGAAGAAATAAAGGACTTGTTGCCTCATGTACTCCCTCGCAACACCTTGCACGCCAACCTGCTCGTAGAAAATTGATTCAGAATAATGCTCAACGTTCAGTGCATCCATCTGTTATAGAAAGTACAAATCATACGCTTGCAGAATATTTTCCAGTACGTCGAAGTGTGAGAAAATCGAAGAAAGCTGTATTAGAAGAAAAGCAAAGAGACATAGAAGCAAAAGTCTTGCAACAAGTTGAGGAAGGTTTAGAAGTGAGCATAAAATAAACTTAAGAAAAACATCTTTTATAAATAGTTATATAACTTTATATAATTAATGCTTAGGTCAGATATTTTCCTGGTAAAGGACGCGGGGTTGTAACTACACGTCCCTTTATGAAAGGAGAATTTGTAGTAGAATATATTGGTGAATTAATTGATCAAGTTATAGCAAAGAAACGTGAGAAAATCTATGCACAAGATCAAAATGCAGGATGTTATATGTATTATTTCCAGCATCGTAATCATCAGTATTGGTATGTATATTTGATTTGTACAATATAACAATTATTTTAATGAATTTAATATATGTGATCATCATAATATTATAATTTTAACTTTTATAAATTCTGAATATAGTTCTGAATATAGTTCATTGGTAAATTTATCATGACAACACTTAAATATTTGTAGTGTTGATGCTACAGCAGAAACAAATAAATTGGGGAGGTTGGTAAATCATTCCAGAAATGGAAATTTAATTGCTAGGATCGTTGAAGTGGAATCAACACCACATTTAGTACTTACAGCAAAAGAAGATATACCGATTGGTGTAGAAGTTGCATATGATTATGGTGATCGAAGTCGAGAAGCTATTCGTCATCATCCATGGTTGGCTTTATAGCACTTTAAAATTACATTTTATATTGTAACAATGTATTGATAACGATCTATGTTGTTACTTCCACAAAATAACTTATTATCCCATGTAGTATATATTTTCAATGCCTGACTATGTGCTGCATTTATGCAGGATATTAGTATACCAAGTATGCTTATGTATTAGGTCGTGTATTGATTTAGGAAAAAAATGCATTATTACAAGACATCTACTATGAATTGCATAATTTAAATATAACTCTAATATTTCTTTTTAAAACTGCTATCAACAAATTATATTATCTTAATGAACTAAAACATCATCTAGTTGAGGCATCTTATGACGAATATGAAAGTGGTTATAAGATAATATAATCTTTGAAAAAAGTTGTTGATATATGTGTCTTTCACTTTAGCTATGATCATGCCTAATTTTCAAAAGTATTTATATATTGAAATAAGTTCAGTTATTTTGTTTTGTGAGTTAATGTTGGCAAAAAATATTAAGTTATATATTTGATACAATTATAATTAGATTAGGTTCAACTATATAAATATTGCACAAAGATGTATTAAATTAAAAAATGATTCTAAGCAGTATATCATTTTACGACTATGCAATTTTTTATTGTGATCATATGATCTTAATATATGAAATGTTCATGATTTTCATAAAGTATTACATTTCACATAATTTCATTCATCAATATTTAAAAAGAAAAATCTTTCAGAAATTATTTATTGCAATTTTCGTAAAATTCAAAAATAATGTATAGTTTTAGAATTATAAGATTTAGTGACTGATTAAAATATTTTATGTAAAGCTGTACTCAAATAATATTAAAAAAAAAAACATTAATTTAGGATTTTGTTCATGTTCAACTATATATATATATATATTAAATATACAGTTATTTTGTAGAGAATTAAATGAAAAATTCTGTAGATTTATATAGATTTATTACAATAAGCAACATTTTTTATACGTATTTCTTATACAAAGTTATAATTTTGATTTTGCTTTATACATGCCATAATCAACCAAAAAATGATACTTGTATTTGATATTTAAAATTTAATGTTTATCTAAAACAAGGTCTGTCAATAATCCTTATTAGTTTCAAATTAAGAATAAAGGATGCATAAGTTTATCCTATTTTTTACTTATATATTAATTATTACAGATAGAAACACATTGTATAAAGTCATGCAATGTAAGTTTAATATAAAATAAATTTAGTAATAGAAATGTGGTATTTCTCTAATACAGAATTTCTCAAAAATGTAGAATAAATATGAATAATTATATTTTTTAGGTGTTATTTTATTGTTAAAATATTGAAAAATTTCTTCTATTTATCATGTCCCATGCTGCCTTTTTCACATTGTGTATTAAAATAATATAAAAATAAAGTATTCATGAATAACATTAATTACTTAATACTTCTTTCATTTTTTATTTTGTAATGTTTCGATCTGTAACTCTTGAAATTTAGCAATTTTAAAATAAGTGCAAAGTAGTTAAAAATATGCATTCTAATTATATAATACGAATTTTATTTAACCGCCAATTTTAAACTTGGAAGTTTTATAATGGAAGAATGTCAACTTAGTGTCAATTTTTTGATCACGGTAACTTTCCGCTAGATAAGTGAACGACCTATTAGATGTATTTGTTATTCTTTTTATTAATGGTCAAAGTCCTTTCTTTCAGTTATTGAATTACTTGTCTTCCATTGGTTATACTATTACTATATTTTTCTGATTGGTTATTATTAAATGTAACAATTTCTTACTTTTTGATTTCAGCCAATAGGATTGCAATAATATCTTACATAGTTGATTTTTCATTGGCTATATTTTACATGCTCTATAGAAATAAAATACTATCAATTAATAATTAAATTCTTTATCAATTCCGTAAAATATAATAAATAGAATAAATACATTTGTGCACCAATATAACTATCTTAATAATACGATTGAATATAAGAATGTATTTTCATTCGGGAAGTCCCTATTGTCGCTTATTAAAGTAGTTTACCCTCTTCACCCCACCTTTTACTAAATGCTTATAGCAGAATAACATCGTCAGTGGTCAGCCATTATTGTGAGATATAAAGTTGTTCCATATTTGTTAATATAGAAGTATATAAAAATATTAATTGTTTGTGATTTGAGTTTATTATAAAAATGCATACAATACCAGAATTAGGTACAAGCGTACCTGCCTTTCTTGCAAAACTTTGGAAACTAGTTGAAGATCCTGAGACCGACGACCTTATTTGTTGGTCACCTGTAAGTCGCCGATTTATTTATTATTAATAAATATTAATTCTTTTAAGATTTACAACATCGTTACTATATTTTAAATACAATATATGTTTAACAACAACTTGTACAATCATTTTCTTTACCGGTCCTTTTTTTATCTCTTTCCGTAAATAGTTTAATCAACGTAACGTAAGCTTAACGTTGATTTCTATCGTATATATTTTTAATTATATTGTCATCATTAAGTAATGTAAATTTATGTTTTTTGTTTAGAATGGACGAAGCTTTTTTATTCGAAATCAGGCACAATTTGCCAGAGAATTATTACCACATTATTACAAACATAATAATATGGCTAGCTTTGTGCGGCAATTAAATATGTGTATGTATAAAAATATATATTTCTATATGTAATATATTCTAAATTTAACATTAACCTTATAATTGAACATCATACAATTTATTATATTTTAGATGGATTTCATAAGAAAGTTTCTGTAGAATTAGGCGGTTTAAAATGTGATAGGGATGAAATGGAATTCGCACATCAATTTTTTTGTAAAGGTCATCCATATCTTGTTGAACATATTAAAAGAAAAGTAAGTTCATATTATTGACAATTATTTCTTTATTTAATACTAATCTACAATAATTTATAAAAGTGGTAGATGTTGCTTTTATTTTAAATATGAAATTAGAAACTTGATATTTAAAAATTCACAATTTGCTTTATAATATATATATATAGATTGCATCAAGTAAAGGTCAAGATCCAGCTCTTACACCTATTAAGCCAGAACTAATGAATAAAATGTTAACAGAAGTAAGAAGTATGAGAGGTAGACAAGAACATTTAGATTCGCGATTGGGTGCTATGAAAAGAGAAAATGAAGCATTATGGAGAGAGCTTGCAATGCTTAGACAAAAACATTTAAAACAGCAACAAATTGTAAACAAATTAATTCATTTCCTTGTAACGCTAGTACAACCATCAAGAAGTGGTGGACTTTCTGTTAAAAGACGGTATCCATTAATGATAGATGATTCTAATCGTCAGCGTAATAAACAAAGTAAAATTTCAAAGGTATTTATGCGTATGTTTCCTTATGTTTAATGATTTTCTGAGATTTGTGTGTACAAATATATTTATATATTAATGGTTATATGTTTAGGCACAAACATCTCCAACAGGACCTGTTATTCATGAACTTGATTCTTCTGAACCAGATTTAGACTCTCAATACATAGTTGCTGAGTAGGTATTAATTTATTTTTATTGTAATTAATATAATAAAAATCTTGCGTAATACCTAAAATTGGAATAATTTTAAATATAAATGAATAAATTTTTGTAACATAGAATGTTAGAGAATCAGCAACATCCAGCAATAGAAAGTCCTGAACATCCCAATGATTCATCATTAGTAGATGATGACAGCATGGAAACTATACACTTAGTGGATAATGCGGTTCATCTTCAAAGAAATGATATTAGCTTGGTTAAGTCACAAGAGATAGATGCAAAGAAGAAACGACCCTGTAAGGGTAAAAAAAAGTAAGTACATTAATAATTTCGTAAAGAAATCACATTATTAATCACAATATATAATTGTTGATCTATTAGTATTTTATAGGATACCATATAAACAATATTAAATAATATTTGTTTCCTACTTAATTACACTTTCCTGTTAATTTCGAATTATTATTATAATCATATGACTTATTATTAGTATTTGATAATGAGAATCATTATAAAACACTATATATATATAATTTATATAGTGTAATTACATACAATGCAATATTTAACTTTAAGTAACTTTTACCATTGATATATTACTTTGAATATATATCTATACATATAATCTTATTAGATTATAATTTGTTTATATTAGTGCATGATTACTGTCCAAGCCAATTTTATGTAGATTGTATAGCACGTTTCATACTTATTTCATTAATACTTATAATTATGCAATTTAAATATTATTAGGAGGAAAAACAAGGTGCCTGTCAAAATTTTGATCCCATCAACGGAGAATGGACAAGAGTCAAGGTTAACATTTTTCACTCGACATAATTTGGTGTTGGTGTTTTAAGTTATTTCTTTTTTTTTCTATTTTTTTATTTTTTTTTTTTATTTTTTATTTTTTCTTGTTGAAAGAAACTAAGTTGGCTCATAAACATGCTTTCCATAAATTCTTTTTGCATGACTGTAGGGGTATCATAATGAAGTAATTGTAAATGAATCTTTGGATATATCAAAATGAGATGTATTTTGTTTTGTAGTATTTAAATTATTTCTCAGTAATATCTATATTGATAAACTAGTGGAAATCACATATTTTGAAGGCCAACATTTTTCTTTAAGTAAAAAAAAAAAATGTTATTTTCAAAAGAAATAAAATTTAACAAAAATATAAGTATTAAGTAAATGTACATGATTTGTTGCTTCAGTGTTCTGCAATTACAAATTTGGGGCAGTAACATGATCAACAAATATGATGCCTTACATATATTGCATGAACAATGATTAGTTATCATGATTTAATTATTTGTGGCTGTAACTGGACATACATGCATATTTACACATTTACATGATACCATATTTTATCAAATTATGATTATATGTATATGACGTTGTAATAATTATATTTCTATACTATTTAAATACATCTTACATATATATATATATATAGGTGGGGCAAGTTGATGTGAACAGACTTGTTAATTGATCTCATACTATGCTATGTATCTTCAGTCAGGAAATCAATCCTTTTTTAGGTTTAACATAATACTTTTGCTATTCTGTTAATTGAGTTAGAGACATTACATTTAAGATTTATCTTGCATGATACTAGTAATAAATCATTAAGCATACTTTTTCTTATATTTCTGCCAAATTTTCAAAATTAGACAACAGATACTAAAGAAAGAACATAAGGTATATCAGTCATATAAAAATCAAGATAATGAAGATTCGCATTAGGTTGTCTCACTTTTTAGGGAAGAAACACATTTGCTCGAAATACCCATTGAGGACTCTCCTGTGACGATTGCATTATTGGAGAATAATTCAGTCACTTCTAAACCAATACCAGTGGCGACTGTTCGTAGTTCCAAGTTAGCAGCTATGGCTGCTAACATGAGTAAATCCAATGAAGTTGAACCTGATGTTGATATTGAACCATCAACTGAAATAGACGACGATATTCAAGAAACTGACTCTTCTCTGGTGAAACTTGAAGACATATTAATTGTTCCCGAAATTATCAATAATAATAATATGGAGAATGATGAAAATGAAGAGAATAGCAATAACAGTTCCAATAGTCAATCTGCAAGGCTTAATAATGATTTCATGAATGTTAATCACGAAGAAAATATCATAGATGAAGATAATCAGATTGTTGCAGATAAAAGTGAAGCATCAAATTTGTCGGAGCAACAAAAATATGGCTGCAATAAACCAGACAGAAGTGATTCAGTAGACTTATCTTTGAGTTGCGTCAATCCTTCAGGCGTACCTGATGCTAATTACAGGTTAGGAACAATGTAAGTTCAACATAGACCATGGGTAATGAGATCAAATGCAGTGTATTCTACTTAAATGTAGTGGAAATATTAATTTAGAAGACTGAGATGGGAACAACCGATTTTTATACTTTATAATGATTGCATTAATCAAGTACAAGGAATTTTTTACATATAAATTAATATCAATAATTGGTTATAACATATATATGTGTGTATATTGCATGCACATACATATATGTACGTATACATCAAATGATAAAATTCAAAATTTTATTGTTTTTATAATATCCCATCGTTGTACGTCTCAGAAAAATTTGATCTTAACAAAGTATTATTTGAAAATCTTTTTACAAGTTTATTGCAGTCTGTCCGTATAAAAATTAGTATGTTATCGTGCATCTGTTGTCATCTATATTTTCGTATATGTTAGATTAAATTTTAAATGTAATTTTTCGTCTCATAAATGATAGTAAAAATACTTAATAACTACAGTATGTGCATCACTAATATAAGTTATTAAAAAAACAGAACTAATACTTAAGTCATATGTGTGAAACTATTAGAAATATTGTTTGCACAAGTAGTATGATTTATTGAAACACTTATATACAATATGTTCTACCTTTTTTAATTCTTAAGAAATAAGTTTTTTCTGAGACTTACTACATAAAAGGCATTACATACACTGCATATAAATGAGAAATAAATATTGAAATATTGGTATATAGTAAGCTTATACCAATTATAAAATATAATAAATATTGGTATATTTCAAACTTTATACCAATTTATCATCCATTATGAAATTTTGCTATTTACTTGTTTTTACATTGATTAGTTGGCAATATTGGTTTTATAAATTTACTTGTGCTTACATCTCTTCATATAAAGAATCATAATTTTCAGGTAACATTTAAACAATTTAGGAGCATCTATACAAACACGGATAAATTTGTGTGAATGGTGACATTTTTATGCATATTGATCTACTTTGAAAACTGTCTATAGGGAGGAAATGGATAATCATCTTGAATCAATGCAGACGGAATTGGACAATCTTCGAGATATCCTACGTGGTGAAGGATATAGTATTGATGCTAATACACTTCTTGGGGTAAATACACTTTTTGGGGTAAATATATTTCTTGGGATAAATATTTTTCTTGGGGTAAATACACTATTTTTTGGGGTAAATACACTATTAAAAATCACAAGAAAAACATCATTCAATGTTAATAGAATACATTAGATTAGAGTTCAATTATTTTATAATTGCTTGTATTTTTAGTTATTTGGTGCAGAGGATTCTTCAATGTCATTTGGCATATCCGTTAATTCAGATTTGGATAGACATTGTGATAAAGAAGATGATGATCAATCTGCAGGTACGGTAATGCAATTACACTTTTTAATAATTTTATAGTTCGATTACTCTATTAATATTACCTGAATTTTTATACATATACAAGACAATATGTATGAGCATATGAATAGCATCATGTATGAATAGCATCAAAATCGTCTCTAAAATTTGTAGAAATCATTTTTCATGAGAAAGAATAGAATTGTATTAATATTATATGAATATGAATTATGAATTACGATTATAGTTGCTGACTCTATAAGTGGAAATGGTGGGGGAGAATTAATGGCATATAACCCTGCACCTAGTTTATTAGATTTTGATGATGACATATTTTTGGGTGCTACTACATCATCTCCAATTACTAATTCAGCAAATGATGTGTCTTCAAGTAATCTATATGCTTCAGATCCCCTTGATTTAGAAGATAACAAAACTTCACTTCTTGAATCTTATGTAGGAAGCAATGAAAATAATAATTCGTAAAATCTCTTTAAGGTAGGTGCTATATATTATTACTCATTAATATATATGTTAATTGGGTCGTTAATTTTTTATTAACAACTTTTTATGCTTGAATGTCGTTATGACATTAAAAGCATTTTTGTATTCTGTACACAATTTTTGCAATTTAATAAATATTATTATTTAAAATATGTATATACAATCATTATTATAAAATTATTATTATAAAAAGTAGATCCTTATTCCATTACATTATTTTTTGTCCTATACTTTACTTAATTTTGTTATAAATTAATATGTATTTTATATAAGTGTAATTGAAAATTTATATTAATTTCATCCAGTATGTTTAATCTTTTATTTTTAAACAAATAGGAGTTGTATTATTTGAAAATAATATCATAGTAACAAATTTGTCTGGAAAAATGTTCTCTTTATATTATTTTTCACATAAACATGTTAATTTTTTTCTAAAACTTCGATTTATATGTAAACTTTGTTTATTTATAATCATAAATTATTAATGAGCAGTATTTATTTTTATATAAAAATAATTATTATATCTATGAAAAAATTCTTTGAAAAAAAGTTTTTAATTTGTTTTTTAATTTTATTGTACTATGAATTAATGGATAAAGATATTCTTTCTTTATTTTAGCTTTCGAGGAAAGGCTACTGGATTCTTAATTACCTATATGGTAATACCATCATTTTAGTTTTATTTAATATAACAAAAATTATCATAAAAACAGCAGCAGATTTAATGTCAGATGTAAAACAATAATAATATTAATGAAAAATTAGTTCTTTTTTTTTTTTTTTTTTTTTTTTTTTCTTACAGTAGAAAGTATAACGTAATACATCAAATAAATACCATTGGTTTGAGCTATACTGCAACTCATGAAACGAAGAAAAATATTAATTTTAGTATATAATTTTATCAATTTTAATTAGTAAAAATATATATCACAGATATAAGTTATTTTCACAAAATAATTTTTTTGTACATAAATATGGAAGTAACATCAATAACAAAGTGTGAGGCAAGTTTTATGCAATGTAGTAGGTGCATTAAAGAGCAACCTTCTTTTATATAACGCATCTGAGAGATATGCTGTTAGAATTAAAAATTCAAATGGCGTGATATATGTATGGACATGTTAAAAAAGATATGTTATGTCATTATATTATATTTTTTGCATAATTGTTAATTAGATTATTATAATAATATAAAATAAAATGTATAAAGTGATAGTGTTTGAGAACTAAGATTTCAGCGTTCAGTTTTCATACGATTTCCTCGCTATCACACGTGCTTTAAAATTATTATTAATAAACGTGATCTTTTTTAAAAAAAGTATACTACACGTATTATTTTAAATTCGTATATATCTTTGTATATCACGGAATTAAGCAAATTATTTTTTTCTTATTTAATTTATTTAATATGAAATCAATTAACGAATATTGATCAATAACTTTCTCAGATTCCATGTGTAATGATCTTAAAACACTGAAATCTTAGGCTTGTAATTGATTATTATAAAATATTGATTTCTGAGTTTGTTTTGAACAAATATTATAATCATTATATTGTGCAGATTATTTAACATATATTATTCTAATTTGCAGGTAATTATTTTTTTACGAACGAAGCTATTTCTGCTATTAATATAAAATATATTGGCATGTGTACGATTTCATATGCAATCAACAATTAATGAAACAATTTTTTTTTTTTTTTTTTTTTTTTTATTTTTTTTCCTTTTCTTTTCTTTTTTTTTTTTTTTTTTTATACATAAAAAAGTTACAACTTATTCCTTTTATGTTATCTTATCATAATATTTCTGATTCAATTATAAAGATGTATTTTCTATCATAATACGAATTATGATATGTTATTACTTATTAACATAGAATTTTAATTTAGTTTATTCCGAGTTTAAATAGACAGTATATAATACAGATTATGGTATTCAGAATGGTTCGTCTATGAGGAATTAGTCGACTATCTTCCAAATTAAAAAAGAATAGAAGAATGTTTTATAAGCTATGTATAATGACATCTCTATTTCTATTTAATAATAATAACAATGTAATTTTTTAATCAGAATACGGAATATGTCTTTATAACTAAAGAATTATCTTCATTCTATCTCCTTTTTTTGTTTCCCGTTACATATTTCAGAAAAAAAAAAGAGTACCTCAATCCCAGGATTAAGTAATTATTGACAGTTTTAAATAAAATACTTTGTTTTTCATAAATTTTTCATGAAATATTAGATAATAAATATATTTGAATACGCAATAATCTAATTTTGTACACGAATTTTTTGTAAAATTGATCAATGAATAATAAGGAAGTTGAAAATATGAAAATTAAATAATATAATCGGTTAAGAAAATTTATTAAATTAATTTGCATTTTATCATACTGCTTTAGAAAATAATCGTCTGTTTCCTCTTAGCTGATCCATCTCATATATAAACAATAAATTATTAACTTTACGTACAACATATTGTAATAAAATTGATTAGTTACTTTGATAAATAGTTCCTCCTACAAAGGGTTAATCAACAAATAAATAATCTATTATCATACAAAAGTATAGTTCGTATTGTACTATACTCTAAACTTTACAGTCTAAATAATCCAATAATGTAATGTGCTATCACTTTTCTATAAAACATGTGTCTTTTAAAATATATTATTAAATATTATTCATTAATAATAAAATGCAGAAATTTTGTTAAATACGCTTTTTTAAAAAATTCGAATCATATTAAACTGTAAATCGTATTAAAATAGAAATTTAATGTCCATAATATATATCAAGAAGGCTTTATATAATCTTTATTTAAAAATATTTCTACTACGTTTGTCATACATTTTTAGATAAATAACGTGTAATTAATATAGATAAAGAAATTTTTACTAGCGATTATGTTAATTTTGTCTGTTACATAAATAAAATTTAGATTATTGTTTATGTATTTAATTTATAAATGAATGTCCCATATATATATTGAATTATGTTCGAATTGAAAAAAAGAGTATTTTCAAATAAATTAACTTCAAGATATTATTTCGAGAATCTGTTAGTAGAAAATCATGTAATATATGTATTTCATAGAGTCGGTATGTATTTATCTTAGAATAAATTTAATGGAAGAAAGAACGATGTATGATTAAATATTTTTCTTTAAATAATGGTAATACAAATTATTATTATTATCCATTGATTAATCTAAAATCTGTTACACTTATTATTTTACACTTGTAATAGCAAAGTGTATAGAATTATGCAAGTAGTTATATTTTCATATAATATTGTATATTAGAAACGATCACATTTTTTGTTAACTTCTTTTATTTATAAAAAATCTTCTGTGGATGTTACAGTTGCTTCCATAAGCAAACCGAAATCTAATTCAGCAAGACTAGCTGAAATAATATTAGTAAAAGAGGCATATTAGTTTGTATTACAGAAATATCGATCGTTGATATCTATTTATATATACCTTTTGCAGTGAGTAGATCAAGAAATGTATCTAGAGGCGATAAACGATCCGCAGAAGGAAATGCTGCTAAACCTAGAGATAAGTTTTTTTTTTATTAGATTTATTATCTTTTTATCATTTTACTTACTCACCATTATGATGATTACGGTGCTGGAAAGATCTGCCACGATTTTGAGCTACTTCGCCTGATAAAATATTAGCTGCATGTTCCCGAGCTCTTAGCATAAAGCTAACTGGATGTAACCATTGATTTAAAAGTCTTTTGGCTCGAGATCGTGGCAGCAAAGATAGTAAAGCCAATTTTTTAATAGTATTTTCTTTTGTATCACTTATATCTGATAATACATTTTCAATTACAATATGTAATTATTTTTTAATATTTACAATATAAACGTAGTGAGTAATATATACCTGCCATGATAATTTTTGTAACATCTACTTGTAACTCAAATACTGCTCTCTGAACATATTGTAAAAACATAGAATAACTTAAAGTTTTATACCCAAGATAAGTAAAAAACGACGTAAATCCTTGAGGAGCAGGAAACGCTATATTTTCTAATGCATATCTGTAACGTTCCAAAAGCATGAACAATAACCATCGTTTTCCATTATCCAATTGATCACTGAAATGAAATACATTTCATGATATTTTTTTGTAAATCAAGTATTGTAATTATGTAAATAATTTGAGGGATTTCTTACATAAGCATAAAACCACGTTCTTGTTCAATTCGTAAGTCAACGTTAGCAGCCCGACAAAGCATGTGACATAAAATACGTGATGTTTCTAATTGTGCAGCTACGTATCTCGTAGCCATTGCATGAACTTGTAAAGCTGTACATGAACCTTGAATATGAGATGTCGATGATTGTGTACCATTCTTCAAAAGATACATCGAAAGCTCACGTAAATTAACTGAAACGATATGTTCTTGTTTCGAAGCGGTGCAACTTTCACTTTCTGTGAATGGTAAACTAGAGTCCAACAACTTGTTGCTACGATTACCCAGTAAATCTCCAAGAGCAACTGTAGCTATAACAAATCTGTACACTTAATAATTAGATACAGCCAAATATTAGAATATTAAAAAGAAACATTATATTATATATTACCCTCCACTTGGAGACATAGGAGTACTACATCTGGATAATGCCTCTGGTTGATAACATGCCAATGAGACCAACAATTTTTCCGCAATTTTACTTGGCTGAAATCTTGGCTTATCTTGAATATTTTTATTTAATTGTTCCCAAAGTCTAGTCCACAAATCGCTATGATAAGGAACTAATCTTTGTTGTGGTGAAAGTAACATAACAGATGTATTCCATAGTTTTTCATGACTTAATGTTATATTTAAATCATTAACTTTTATTTCAAAAGTCGTGTACTCTTCCATCGTAGTAACAGGTAATAATGTTAATAAGGGCATAGCATCTGCAAGTAAATTCTTTTGTATCAAAGCGTATGATCCGCCAATAAGAATTTCTTGCATATATCGTACGATCTCCAAAAGTCGAGGTTTCTCTGCTACAATAGATACTAAATCCGCAATAATTTCCATATCATTTTTATGACAAATGAAGTAATGTAAAATTCCCAAGCGTACTTCAACAGAAGTTTCTTTTCGAAAAATATCGATAAGGAAATCAGTAGAAATGGATAATTCTACAAGATCTAGTGTGGGTAAATCAATAGTTAAAATTTTTGAGTCAGAATTTGAAAAAATACTGCTTCCATCTAAGTAGCCAATCTTATTCTCTGTAATATTATGATGAAGACCAGATGTTTCTTGCTTTTTATGATTTCCTTCTTCCGTATTTTGTAAATCAAGTAATGGAACTAAATAAGAACCATGTGATACAACAGGTGTTGAAGAACCACATAAAATATGGCAACAGGGATCATGATTCAGTCCTATTTCAAGAAGATGTATAAGTAAACCTTGCACGAATACAATCATATAATGATTTTTATATATTGCAAAGGTTGGTCTTATAAGCTTAGCACGTGACCATGGTATGCCTGGTATAACACAATGAATTACACAACTATGATGAAGAAGCGTAACTGAATATGCGAAATGTACAGTATTTGATTCAGTTAAAGAATTAAGTACATGTTGTGTTTTCATTGGTCTATATAGATAATGATGACAAACACAGACCATTCCTTTAGAATCTGATACCACAATAAGGTCTAAAGAACAATCATGAACTCTCAAAGGTATAACATCATCTTCATAAGTTCCACAATTAGAAGTAGTTGATAATTGAGGTAAGTTTAAAGGAATATTTAACTGAAAGACAAAACATTGTAATTATTGACAAATAATTAGTTATATAGAAATGTTTACTGTACAATAAAATATTAACCACTGTTTCATGTGGAAGATCATCATGAAATTGAAGTCCACTAAGCGTTGGATTTGAACGAGACAATTTGATATTATTTTCATCGTTATCTTCGCTCACTAAACTCGTAGGAATTCGTCTGTGATGAATATGATATAAGACTTGATTTGTCATATCCCATTGTGCCCAAACAAACTCTTTTACTAATTCTTCGTGTTTTAATTCTTTTATTTCCCACAAAGCATCCACTGATGCATCAAATATGATAGTATATATCATGACACCTACATAAATAAAATTATAACATTAATATATAAAGAAAGTTAAATAAATCCTGATTAATTTAAGAATAATTCTATTATATACTTACATTCTTGATGAAGTAATAATAAAAATTTATCAGATGTAGTTTGGAGTTTTTCTCTATATAAGAACTGAATACGCACTTGCTTAGACCTTTCAATTTCTAAATTGTAGAGTTTATCTATGTCAAGTTTCATTAGATATGCTTGATAAGTTTCTACATTCACAATTGACTCTTCTACTTTAGAGCTATTTTCTTCAATAGATTCAACAGCCTTTTCAATAGAAGAATTTTGCTTTGTCACATAGCCAAGTAACGTACGGCTTTGATTTATTGTAGCTTGAACAATATTCAATATCATTTGAAAACGATGTAGGATCTACAAAATATAATGCGAGGTGTTTTTTACAAATTATATATATTTTTCATATAATATTCACCTCTAATTTATTTTTAATCCGGTCGTAATGGCCTATAACAGTATATTGCAAAACTGTGTCGTCTTCTAATAACTTTTCTTCCAACCAACATATAAGAAGAGATCCATCTTTTTCTTGACCCAAAAGTTTCCATTGTTCAGCTACAAATATAGAAATATAGATCATGCATGAGCTAAGAAATATTAATATATTAATATATTAGTTATAATATATACAAGGCTGTTATATAGTTTTCGTCATAAATTATGATATAAGAAGTAGTAAGTAAGCAAATACAGATTGCAACTTCATACTTGTAAAGTTATAAGATTTTTACATATTTTTATATATATATGAAAGTGAGTAAGAATTATTGAATATTTCAAAATATATTTATGATACAAGTAGAAGCACAAGTTATTGTACAATTTTAATGCTTTTATAATTTATTATGATATAGTTAATCACAATAGAACATTGACATTTAAAGGATATATTAACCTGTTACTATATGTATTGATATTTTACTTCAAAGAATATTAATTATAAAAATATATAAAAATAAATATTAATTTAATCCTATAAATGTCAATATTGAAATAAGAGCAGTAAATAGAAAAAGAAGTAGTAAGTTACAAAGAAATATAAAGAATTAAAAAAAAAAAAACAAAAAAAAAAAGAAAAAAAAACAGAACCAATCCTTACTTTCTGTTAATCATGTAATTCCTATTATTTACTTGCTTTTTATGAAACTTGATAGAACACTTATAATGCACTTATTAATACTTCCTTTTCAATCATATAATCCAACAACGTTCCTTTTCCTGTTTCCAATTGAAAAGTTCCTTTTTAATGCGATAATCCGATCAAAATATTGGACTTTGTTGGTATTTATGGAATGCTATTAAATTAAGAATAACAACAAAACATTCTACATCAATAAATAAATAAACTGAGCTAATAGTATAGATTGCCTTTATGTATTTAACTTCGTTAAGAATTCTTTTATTACAATAACAATAATGCTGAATATATCATCACTATTAACTTTATTAAATGTATCTCTTTTATTTTAACAAATATAATATACCTGTGACAGTTTTATCTGGCAAAAGTAATCGTAGCTTGGCAGCAAGATTTCCTATCATATCTTTCTTGGAACTATGTCTTAATAAAAAAATCTTATGTGTAACGATTGCAATTAAATGAAAAAAAAAAAAAAATTACTTTCTCCGAATTAAAGAATTATGTAAAAATGTCACAAAAAGCACATTTCATTAGACAGCTGGATCCCATTGTTGAATTATAGAACTCAAAATGATAAGGAGATATAGACGTAGAAGACGTAGATGTTCTATCTCTTTCTAGTAAAATATGATTGGTCAATGCGTTTCCATGGTAACGGATCAATTCTATATCTAACTGCACCTTTGAGTAAATCTATAAAAGGCGAACCAATGGAGGATACTTAGCAGATTGTACAGTCGGTATACACAGGGAAGGTTATTTTTGAAGATCATCTTAATCGGATGTGAAGTAAAATTGTAATATTTTTGTTAAACATATTGCAATAAGTAATGTATTCTTAATCGAATTAAAGTTGCAACTTGAAAAATAATAAGGTATAAATTTATGAAAACATTATATTAAAAGAATCTCGTTGAAAAGTCGTTACGAATATTTTATTGTAGTACACCGAATCGATAAGATTTGAAAGATGGTTTCCTTTTTCCTTTTTGTTTGTCTTTTTTTGTTTTGTTTTTTTTTTCTTTTTTTTTTATTCTTTTTTCTTTCTACAAAAAAAAGAACTTAAAATGGATCGAAAATTTAGAAAAAAGACATAGACGTTCGATATTTTATGGCTTTTTTATTGAATGTTCCTAACTGTTATTAAGAAACAATGTGTATCTCTCATACATGTTATAAACTGGTCTTCGTGTACATATTAAAATTTTTTTTTTACGGCGATGTAACCAATGATATTACAGTATTTCTTTAATGTGCATGTATGTATGTATGTACGTATGTAACTATGTACATATGTATGTATGTACGTATGTAACTATTACGTATGTATGGTATGTATGTATGTATGTACGTACGTATGTGTATGTATGCATGTGATGTATGTATTCGGGAGTAAGACTGATTATTCCACAGTATTTCGTACCGATTGCCCAAGGCATTCCTCTTATTTATTTGGTAAATTTTTCAATAAATGCACGTAATTTGTGTGTATTTATTAATGGTTTTATCGTGATCTAAATAATATTGATATGATTCTGTTTGGAGATGGCTTAAGAAATGTAAAGAGATATCTACTATTCCTATTAATTGATCTGTTCCTATGCGTTTGGCCTTTCCAAACATTTTCTATTTGGTGCTATAAGGAATATTCAGTATGTATTTAATGTCTAATTCTTTTTTCTTTTTCTTCTTTTTTTTTTTTTCTTCTATACATCGGTACCACTGTGTTACAGCGCATGAAAATACAATGTCGAATTGGTTTTAAGTATTTCAAGTGCCTTCGAAAAGGCAACGATTATTTGATGTCTTTTTTTTTCTTTTTTTTTTTTTTTTTTTTTTTTACCATTTTTTAATCGAACAATTTCATGTGATGCACAATAAGATCAAATTATATAGGCCCTCTAACATTTTATAAAGAGTATATAATATTAGAGTCGTAGAGATTTATCATGTGACCTGAAAGTAATAAGTACTCGTGAATTAATTTATATATATATATATATATAATATATAATATATAATATATATATATAGACACACACACATATATATATAGTATGTTCAGTTCAAACGTATACACGTAACTGTTAAAATTTAGACGTAAAATTTGTGTTATTGAAAATATGAAGAAACTTTCTATATAAAAGTTATTTAATTTAAAAAATAAAATATATGGTCGAGGAATTATAAAATTATTAATTGCATAGATCTTAACCTCCATTTTGTTTCTTCTTTTAATAGAATCGTATAATTTGATTTGTCAGGTAATTTTTTCTTTTTTCTTTCTCTTTTTTTTTTTTTTTTTTTTTTATATATATAAACGGGAGTTAGTTTGACTTTAGTCGTGACTGTATTATAGAGAGTAGGGAAAGCGTAAAGGATTCAAGGTTCACTATTTTATATTTTAATCGTACAAAGAAAATATATAGTTTTCGTATAAAAAAAAGGTTTCTTCGTATTTTTAATAACCTAAATTTTAGGTTCTCAAAAATATTTCTCTATATACGTGAACCGAAGAGACTATATATATCATATATGTGTGTATAAGCCAATTTGAAATGTGACGTAAACTAGATTCGTAGCACAAATGCAACCATTTTATTTTCAATAAGGTATTTTCTTTTTTTCTTCTATAAAATAAATGTTTTCTTCGTAAAGAATTTCATTCTTTTTTAAATATATAACAAATCATATTACCAATTATCACCACAATAGAAATTACAAACAAATGTGACTCATATGAACAAGCTCATTAATCAGTGTCCTTTGTTTGTAATTATAAAACAGATTTCATGAAAGCCAATTTGTTTGATTTTCAAAAGTTATATTAAAATTAATAATGAATTCAAAACAATAGTCGTTTTTTCTTTTCTTTTTTCTTTTTTTTTTTTCATTTTCTATGTATATATATAAATTTCTGCATATAGTGCAGTTGTATATAAATCTCTGCGTCTCTTAAGAAACAAGACCATGTAGTGTGTATTTTAGGATATTACTCTAGGTAGGTATAGGTAGATGTTGCCTATGTACAATCGCATTGACGTTGCGTATGCTACTTCTTGGCAATCCTAAGTAAAGCTTATAGTTTGAATAAACTTCTTTAGGTAATTAGGTCTTTAATAAGTAGGTAATAATCCTATTAGAAATAACAGTACAATAACTGACTGTACGAATAATTATTCTGCAGTCATGTACATGTTATATTCTCTAATATAGGGTATTCTCATACGATTTTTCCTTGTTTTGGTTCTGAGAAATAATTAAGATAATCATTCTTTTACTATTATAATTGGCCAGTAAGTATCTGCCATTTTACTTATATTATTATTCTATTTACCATATATACAAATATTATACAATAGTCGCACTTAATTAAGTAATATTAAAATCTAATTTCAATAATGTTGTAGTAGTTATACGAATAGAAACTTTACCGCATCTAATTCTTCCTTGTGTGATAATATATATCATAAATACACTTTTATATAAAATTTGTATAATCTACATGAATCACTTTAAGTATATTTTCTCTTTTTTTCAATCACAAAAGATACAAATGTAATAACCACTACATAAGCGGGGAAATTGTGGGCGGTATCACTCTGGCAGTATCTTATTCAGGCAGATACAACTGATGTCACTTTGAAGGAAAACAAAACAAATTAATTAGCTCAATATTTGTGCGAACGATTATATAGAGCTTATTTTCGCATATTAATCATTGCTTTTTATATATCAATAATAATATTTCAGCCCCTTTTTACATATATGTGTTATATATGATATATATTTATTTCATCAATGTTATTTGATTCAGTACCGCTTAAAAAAAATTTGATTACACATCATTGTTTCAGGATGTATTTTTCTAATTATTTACATTATTTTCCTAATTGACCTTTTTACATATTTGACATTTTGTATTATTTATTATGTATTAATAATTAATTATTCAGTATGCAATGTGTATTATCACAATATCAAGAAAACTTCAAAATAAATTCAAACTCTTTTGAATGCAGACATTCATTACAGAAATGTGAAAATAAACTCTATATATGCAAATTGTTTCTAAATTTTGATGTATCTTCAGAGATATATTTTATTAATACTTGCAATACGCTTAGATTAATACTAGGATTCAAAGATATTTTATTTTAAGTATATCACTCTTTTCACATTTTTGTCATTTAAAGTTGTTCATTTTTTTTCTTTTTTTTTTTCTTTTTTTTTTTTTTTTTTTTTTTTTCAATGAACTTTAAGGTCCTAATATTGAGTCAAGTTTTATACGTACAAGTTTATAATAGATTTATTAACTTTTATGATTCATACTAATTTCTTTAATGATTATCTGATTCATGTTCATCAAGTCAAATAAAAAAAACATTTTATAACAAAATACATACTAATAAGCTAATAATAAAAAAATAATAATAATAAAAATAATAATAACGAAATTAAAATTTATATTAGAATCTAGTTCTCTCTTGTATTTCTACAGAAGACATAGTCTTTTTACTTTTTTAACTGTTAACTTTTAGATATTGAATAAAAAATTTTAATCTATTAAGTAATATCATTCAGAGTAAATAAAAGAAAAATCATTTTTATAATATGTCTTGACTCACATAATCATTAATGTGATTTAAATTTTTTTCTCAGGAGATACATCGTGAAGAATAATTGTCTATGTCTCCAGTGTGAAGCCCAATATCCCCTTCAATTATTCATTCCCATCTGTTGCTACTATTTATCTAATGGAGAGGAACACTATATGCGCTATATCCATTAATAAGCAGGGTAGTTCACAACAGATGAACGTATTATCTAATTGGATTAAAACTTATTTACAAGAGGTACTGTACATTTACATTATAATTCTGTTGTGATGTAGGTCCATCATAGCCTTGAACGCGAGTAGACCGATCTTTTATGTAAAGACGATAATGCAGGGAAACTTCAAAATGTTAAAAAACATTTGAAGTGGCACGATGTGTTCCAATGAGCAAACATTTAAATTTACATCGAAGCAAGATCAGTAGTCCAAAAAAAAAAAGGAAAGATAAAAGAAAACAAAGAAGAAAAAACAAAAACAAAAATAAAAATAAAAAAAAAAAAAAAGAAACAAAAAGAACTTGAATATTTCACAAAATTATCAATAATTATTGATAAACATTTACATCTTGTAATAAAATCTTGTTCTATTATTTGTCTATAAAGCCCTTATTGCATTCCTGGAATTATTATATTGTACCATTTAATTTCAATCGATTCGTATAATTTCATCGATAAATACAATGGAACATTTGCTCACCAGAACTAGCATATCAGTTCAAGTATGCTGTACCCATCCATGCAATAAAATCTTTACAGACAAGCACTAATTATCGTGTTTGCTGTACTAATGTTAAAAGTCATCATTACCCTAGTCATATGCCCTAACTCTTTTCAATAGGAATTATTACAATTAGAGCTAAGATTGTTTGTACCATTGATTAGGTGAGAGCACCCACTGTGAACCCAACACATTTCTTATATCCCTCATATACGAATTTCGTCGTATAAATCGGAATTTTTATTTATTTTTCAGTAAGATGCTAACTTGGTGATCGCACACCTCTGATTTTGGGATCATAATTTGATTATTTCATTATGAAGAATTATAGTTTCTTGAGATCTTATTCGAAAAGTGCCAATATGTCGTCGCTCGATGAGGGATTTCCACTGCTTGCTCCACTACTAGGTGGAGTATTTAGATCAGGCGGATCTAAATATGAGAGCAGTTCCATTGGATCTACGACATTGTCTGGCAAGAGCTAAAAAAAAAAAAGAGATTGAAAAAAAAATTAGATCATGATATTTTGCATTCATTTTATATCATTTTATATCAACAATTTACAGATTATCTAGTATATGTAATATAATATATATTTATATATTATTTAATACTTACATTCAATGCTTCTTGACCAGTACCCTCGCCATCTATAACCGCAGCTGGATCGAAATTTAAGTCTGATGGTATGTCCGCGGTATCGGTATTTATATTTGTACTCGTATTACCAGACGTATTATGGTTTCCTGTAGATTCCTGAGATGCAGGAGGAACACTTGGTGGACCACTATTACCACCACCAGGTGTGTGGGGTGTGTGAGGGGTATGAGGTGTATGTGGTGTGTGCGGCATCTATCATCACAAAATAAAATACGAATAAATCGTATGGAGGAGGATTTATTTATTTATATTAAATTCAGTCTATTATATCTAGGGAATATACCTGATCATTTAATGATTTTTCCATAGCATTAAGGGGATCCAAGGAATTCACTGATTCGTTCAAATGAGTAAGAGGTCCCGTTCCGCTGCTATAATCGTTATTGGTTGAGTTATTCGTTCCAGGATTGATATCGAACGATCCACCAGATGAATTTCGGTGATTGATATTATTATTCCCGTAAGTGGACGACGTGTTGTTCATCATCGAGCCGCTTACTATGCTACTCATGTCCGGTGGTATATAGGGGCTCATAGCTTGATTCATGTCCCAATTATTCATTGTGGGCATATTCATACTTCCAGGTGACATAGCTTTCGTCATTCTTTTACAATCATTTTCCTCTTCTGACTTAATGTTGGCTAAATTCTTAGCAGGTTTCCAATTCGCCGCAGAGTCTATCGTTACTTCTTCTACTTCTGCGGTATTCAGAGTATTCAAAATTCCCCACATATATTGATCAACCTCTAAACCCTCTAATTGAGCTGGTTTTCTATAAAATTAAAATAATGACATTATTAATAATAACATATTTTCTTTTTCATATATTGGTAATTAATAACGATTTGATTTTGGATACTTACGTGCACACAGGACACCTCCATGAACCCCGTTCGCAATTTAATTGCAGATAAGACTCTAAGTCGAAACATTGTATATGTTTGCAATCGTGTCCCCTCGCTGGCAGTGTAATACGTTTGAAAGTTATAGGACATTTTAAAGATACCTGTAAAAGTATGATATAATGATGATATAACATTTTTACAGGTTCATAAGTTAATATAAAAATATTTAACGAAGTATATTCTTACCTTAAGTGCTGTTTGTTCCACGACATCTTTCTCGGATTGGATGCCGTTACTCGAAATTGTATTATTAAAATTTCTTTTGATTTTTGTTATGCAATGTTCTGCAGTAAGTAATCTCTTGCGTAATAAACCTTGCAGAACGCTACGTACACTTGGTCGATGGACTAATTGAAGAACAAATAGATGTGACTGTAAATGAGAATAAACATTTATATTAATATGTACAAACTAAAAATATTTAAATGCCAATGCTACACATATGTTTTTTTTTTTTTTTTTTTTTTTTTAATACTTACACAACAGCATGCGGATACTGTAATCTGTATAGTATTTCTTCCCGGTTGGCACACGTCCTTTAGATAAAGAGGCTTGTGGGATGTCTTGTTTTCGCCACGATCAATAACAAGAGGCGTTGCATTGACAGAAACCTGAACGCTTGCAGGCCAATTTGTGTTCATCTGTCTATCTTCATGATGGAAACATTTAAGCTGTAGCTCCAAGTCGGATCGCCACATTAACGTTTGATGAACCGTAGATTTCAGTTGAAAAACATGGTTGCTTACAGCCAAATTATGTTCTAAGCGGAAGGGTGGAAGAATAATACCGTCTCTCACGGGGAATGTTAATCTTAATTCATCGTCTTCTGCGAACAAGAAGATTCATTATTAGGTATCGTATGCATTATAATTAAAGTATTTATATTTTATCATCTTATATATACTGTATGTATTTACTTTGTATATTGACAGGCGATTTGATTTCGTTGAAATTTGGTTTAATGTCCGGATTTGGACTGATGTAAGGTGGTATACTAGTCGCTGGCGTTAATGGAGGAGTTGGATTACCAGGTATAGGACTATGTTGATAATTCAGGTTCGCTGCCCCTGTCGTTCTCATCGACGCCACATCCTGTTGGTATTGACTTGTAGCCGCAGCAGCAGCAGCAGCAGCAGCTCCGTACGAAGATTGTCCACCACCGTAAGCTGCATTTTGTTGATGACCGACGAATTGGTTCCCTACTGTGGTGGGTCCCATACTAACTGGTACACCATTGCCATTATAATATTGGCCTGCTGCTGCTTGCGACGCCGTATTATACGATGGCGTTGTTTGCCTCATGTTCGTCCCTTTAAAATATGTTATTTAATGGTAAGCACAAATTTCATTTTATCATTATAAATATTTGCAAGAAATTTTCTCTAATATAGAGATAAATAATTTAGTATTTGAACTTACCACGTATCATAGAATTCGGTCCAAAACCAGCCGCGGCGGGATTCATGCCTTGCATCGGTTGATACTGAGGTTGGAAGTTTGGTCTTGCCGTAGCTGGATAATTATTTGGATATTGTGTCGTTGGCATATTGTTAAAACCTGGCTGCATCGCCGCAGGATTAGGATTAGCATAAGGTCCCTGCTGTCTCTTTTGCGCCATATGTATGGCTGGATTAGGATATGGTGCTAATCTTCTTGGATATCCTTGAAGAGGCTGCGCCTGAGTAACAGAGATGAATTATAGGTATTTATAATCATCGTTATCATTATCATCGTTTTTACTTAGCATTAAGCAGAAAAGAAGTAGCGAATAATTACCTGCATCTTATTCATCTGTATGTTGTTAGGTCCCATCATGTTGTTCATTCCCATGTTACCCATGTTACTCATGGAGCTCATGGGGTTCATACCGTTCATACCGTTCATACCGCTCATACCATTAATGCCGTTCATGCCGTTCATGCCGTTCATGCCGTTCATGCCTCCCATTGTCATAGGATTCATCGTGTTCATCCCACTCATACTGTTCATCGAATTCATGGAATTCATAGAATGCATTGGGCTCATAGTGCCCATGCCATTAAAGTTGCTCATCCCAACTGGCCCCATTCCTGCCATTGGTCCTCTTTGGGCGTACCCTGTGTTGTACGTTTGATGGGGTATCCCATGTTGGCTTTGCATCTATGATAATGAACATACCAAATTGTCATAATATGTTGACGATCATTTATTTTTTAAACTTATCGTTTTGCACGCATCGTATGAAAGTTTACCTGATTAAATTGTGCGGGGATATCTTGGCGGTCCTGCATGGCCACCACGCTGGCAGTGGCGGTGGCCGTAGCGGTGGCAGCTGCCACCATCGCCGCGGCACTAAATGTCGAACCACCACCCCCGCTCTGAGGTGGCACTGTGTTATGATAGCCGGATGATAGCACGGGTTGCACCCCAACGCCGATCGCCGCCGTTTTTGATAATTATATAGTTACCAACCCTTGAAAAAATATCGAGCTTCCGCGTTGAGGAGTAGGAACGTTCAAATGCCTTCCAGAAATTCTAAAACATAATATTCCTCAACAATTATTTTATCATACTAACAGGTATGTATTGTAATTTGTAACAATTTGTGAATGTGTAATAATAAACACAAGTCGTTGTCATTTAAGTGATAATTTTTAATATCCTATGCTAAAAGTAAGCATCATGTTATTAAATTAGTAATCTTTCATCCCGCTAGAAAGTACAAGGATTAGTGGAAGGGTTAGAGCAAGGATACCCGAAGAATTCGTTCGACAAAATGAATGAAGTTTAGGTAGGTAGGAAGGATGGAACGAGTGAACGAACCGCGTCAAACCGTTGATACTTCCAGCTGGCCACACCATAGCACGTAGCCCCCATTGCCTTTCTGTGGGAAATACACGTGCTCGCTATTCACACACCGCCGCTATAAACACAGCGTGCGAGCGTCCTGCCAGGCAGTATGTAAGACATTTTTACCTAAGTTTAATCAGGTTATTTAAACTTTTTTTTTTATAAATTTTTAATAATCATATATAAAAAGAAAATTTAATTTGTTCAGTTACGTCGATAAAAAAAATTCACAACCGCGAGATGGCGTTTATCGTCGATAAGATAGAAATCTTATAAGTCGATATTTAAATGTTTCCTTCCGGAAGAAAAGATATATTAGAGAAAACACGATCGAAGAAGAGAACTTTCGAAGCATCGTCGTCGTTCTCGAGATGCGATTACGACGCATCGAACAAAAACAAATCCAGAATAATAGCCTCTCGTGGGAATTCAATAGGTCGTGAGAGACGGGTGTACGTGAATATACATATATGAGTGTAGTACGCACGGGAGCACATATATAAATGTATATATGTACATACTATATATATATAATATATATATATATATATATATTTACATACGTAGCGTACGCGTCCCGATATAGCACGTGGAGAGGGAGAGTTTCCGAGGTTGACGTCATCCTCGTCCCACCCCCTTTAAATTCGTGCTCAATGCAAGAGCGACCTAACCGAACCTCCATTCGTCTCTCTCTCTCTCTCTCTCTCTATCTCTCTCTGTCTCTCTATTTCTCTCATACACATACACTCTCCACTTCGGTCGAACGTTGTTCCTTCTTTCTTCCCTTCTTCTTCCCTTCCTTCTTCCCCCATCCGGTGGCGAACCCCTCGGTAAAGCAGCCCACAACGGGTTTCTATTCTCGGATGTCAATATTTCGTCAACTAGAGCCTACTCGGCACGCAACAAAAGGCCCTACACAGCTTGCGCTCGGCACCGAGAGAAAGAAAGAACGACGACGAGACGCAACGTGGTTTCTCTTAGAGAGACAGAGAGAGAGAGAGAGAGAGAGAGAGAGAGAGAGAGAGAGAGAGAGAGAGAGAGAAGGAGAGGATGCAACAGCAGTAAAACGAAGAGAAGAGAGCCCCAATATGATGGGGGCTGCTAAAAAGCGTTCGAGGTCGCGAACCAGCTGAACGAACTTTTAAGGGCATTAAGCATCGATTATTTCCTCTTCTAAATATGTGATAAACGAATATATAAAACTCTTTCCTCTTCGATTATTATCAAGAAAGAAATATTATAACCCTTTTAGAGTTATACTTCGAAACGTCTCGTTTTCGGTACCGTGGAAATATCTCGAAGTAACAAGGAGGAGGAAACAACGGGACGAAGGGCGCGAGAAATGAATCCTACGAGAGCGTAAAATTTATGTATGGATATGTGCGTGTTTATATGTGTGTATATAAGTATGTATTTATGCACACATACACAAACACACACATATATATACATACACACACACACACACACACACACACACACCACACTATATACAAGACGACGGACTCATACATTCATCGTTGGGAGCTCATTGTCGCGTAACGAGGCCATTCGAAAGTAGATCCAGTTCTACGAGAGAAGCGCACGGATTCTTCCTTTCGTTCCAATTTTCGAGAGTTTCGAGATTTCTCGAAATAGGAATCTCTACATATTATACATATACATATACATATACATATACATATACATATACATATACATATACATATACATATACATATACATATATATATATACATATGTATATCGTACCGTGATAGAAGTAGCTAGATGTTAGAATGCGCGCGATTTTCAAACGATAAAATAATAAAAATCGAAGAGATTACTATGAGAGAAACGGAAGGGAGGGAGGGAGAGAGAGAGAGAGAGAGAGTATTCGTATTTCAAGGGATATATAAAATGGATTCTACTCTTTCACGGCCGAGACATATAATAGCCATGTCTCGGCGCAGATCGGTGAAGATCGGCGTTAGCCACGCGAACAGAAAGAGAAAGAGAGAGAGAGAGAGAGGGAGGGAGAGAGGGAGAGACAGAGAAAAGATCCTCGACTCTGTTTGAGGTGAACACGAGTGGGAGAGGCGGACGTGAGCGCGTGCTCCTCATGGGCGACGAGAGGGAAAGAAAGAGAAAGAGAATGAACGGCGGATGCCGATCGCAACACTTCACTAAAATCAGGACAACTTGAGAAGGAGATTGAGGAGATGGAGATGGAGAAGAGGGTGGAGGAGAAGGAGGAGATGGAGGATGGAAACGAGGATTCGAGAGACTCTCGAATGCCGAGAAGACACCGTGTCGCGACACGTAAACAAGAGTGTTCGCTCCGAGGTCGTCGTGGCGCGAAAGCGATCCAGGATGAGAAAGAGATGTTTCTCTCTCTCTCTCTCTCTCTCTTTTTCTCTATTCTCCTTCTCCCCTCCACCCCTCCACCTTCTCCTCCTCCTCATCATCATCATCATCCTTCTCTTTCTCATTCGTAAAAGTCTCGCTGACGACGCTTTCGCAGGGGCTTTGATCTCCTCCATCGTTATCGTTATTTTTGGACGTACGTATCTGCTAGAGACAAAAGCATTTTTTTGCGTCTGTCTCACTCTCTTATTCTCTCTTTATCTCTCTTTTTTTCCCTTTTTTTTCTTGTTTCATCATTGTTCCCCTCTCTTTCTCTTCTCTTCTCTCTCTCTCTCTCTCCCTCTCCCTTTCTTTCTCTTCTTCTCCATTTCGTGGTGGAGACGCGTTTTGAGGGGAAGATGAGATTCGTCGATTCGAATCGATGAAGGAGAAACAGTGCTCGGGGTCAATATGAAAATCGGGTGTGGTGTGCCTTCCTAAAACCGGTTTATATGTCCGTAACTGGAATCGTGCGGGGCGACGACGACACGTGTCCTAACAATGAGTGCATCGATACGATAGGCATATAATAATAACTTTTCTACTCACGATTTACACCCTTTCTACTCTTGCTACGGTAGAGAAAGAGAGGGAGAGAGAGGAGAGAGAGAGAGAGAGAGAGAGAAAGATATCGAATGGGTATAAAAGTATTAACGATTTTAATAGTTAAAATCGATTTATGCTTATAGATAATTATAATCTTACGATTTCTTCCGATGATTTTCAGATAATAATGTTAAAATTTCGACAAATACGGATACACGTAGAAGAGTTTGGTATCTCGTAGGGCTTGAAATCACATTATAGTACGTTCTAACTCGCCAGAGATCACGAAGATCCATATTATTATCTCCAACATACTCGGGCATGTTGGTTTCTCTCTCTATTTCTTGTCCAAGCAACAATACGTACGTAAATACGCTCAACTCCTGAGAAAACAAGCGCTGAACCGCAGGTGCCTTGCCTAGAAACGTTTACGAGCTTTTGTATTCTCTATATTAAACTAATAGCATTATATGCGCGAAAAACAATTTTATTCTTTCTATTATGTATAATGTTGATACTTTCAAGAAATATATTAGTAAAATCTTATTCGTCATCATTTTGTTCAACACGGTTTATAAAGAATCAATATATTACGAAAAGATGATGGCCGGTCTCGTTCGTATCTTCTCATAAAAGAAGAATCATTGTTAGATTATCTAAGCTAACTTAATTCCTACCTGCTACTTTCGATCAACCATATCCATTTCTCTCTTTCTCTTTCGGTCTTTCAAGTTGAGAGGATTCTGTCATTCGCAACAAATACTCGTGGCATTTCGAGGTGGCGGCAACCGGGATAGATTTTTTTCGCGCCGTTCGAAAGGTCGAGCGACAGTGTGAACCGCAAGAGTGTGCGCGCGTACATATGATTGTACAGTCTAGTGGCCTCGACGACAACAACGACAACAACGATGATGACGACGCTGACGACGACGATGACGATGACATCGAATAATTGTATGCACGCACGATATATATATATATATATATATATATATTTTTTTTTTTAGTTATTAGATATAAATAAATTTTAGAAATGAACGATTCTCATAGATACGATAGTTTGACGAGTCTCTTTAAATGCCGAGAAGACGGCGACAATCGATGAACTTTAATCTCGACGTACGTACAATACGATAACGAACTTATGTACGCATGTATGTAAATGTATATATATATATACCCACATGCTTGGAGAGCTCCGACGATTCGTCGCTTTAACAAACGCTTCTCTAACGCGATAAACGTCACTGAACGTTTATTATCGGCGCAAGCGCACAAGTATCCTTTTATTTTATCGCATTATCTTCCTTCCTTCTTTCACGGTAGAATAATTCGAACGTCGATCTCTCTAGTACGTACTTAATATATATACGTACGTATAAATGTGCATGTATCAATCATGCTTTTATACATTTATTTACACACACACACACACACACACACACACACACACAAGCATAGATAAAAAGCAAGTAATCATTGAGAAATTTTGAAATTAGTTTCGGTGATAATTAATCTCTCTTATTATTTTGCATTAAGATGCAGTTGAGAAATAATTCTAAAATCAATATTATTCCTGTTTTCATTTAGAGATCTTAATCTATATAATCGAATGGATATTATTTAGATCAGCATAGTATAGTTTCGACGTGTATTTAAAATTGTTGTTGCACATACATACATATATATATATATATATATATATATATATATATATATATATATATATATATATATATATATATACACAGTGT